CCCAATTCTTTTTAGCTCCAAAATAGATATGACACTTGCTTTCCCAGCCGGAATAGCCAATGGGGTGACAATAGTTGTTGCAGATTCTCGAATTTGAGTGGTGAGATGGGCTCCTTAAGGCATCCAGTATGGTAACACACTGAAACCTGAAAAGCCAGCAGAAGGGAGAGTTCTTCACAAGGGGCAAAATGCCCTGAGGGAAGGGTCTGCCTTGGGAAGCATCACAGTTCTGGGGGCATCCAGTAAATTCTCACTGGCCCTGGCTCAGGTATTCTTAGGTGAGTAAGAATTTTTGTGGGGTTCATAAGGAAAAATTTCCTCCAGGGCATGAAACAGTCCTACAGGGTGTAGACAGAAAGTGACCTCACAGGGTGATCTGATCATAAATTTCTGACGAGGCAGGACCGGGTGGGTAGTCATGCCCCACACCTATAAGTTCCTTAGGAAAGGCTTAAGCAAGCCTTGTCCATTGTTTCTGTGAATCTAGGTTAACATGCCTTTGAAATGCCTCCTTTCAGACCTCTTCTAAAGCATGACCACATCTAGAGAGCACATAATCTTCTTGGCTGTCCTGTAATTTGATCTTTGCCTTGCTTTCTCCCTCCTTCATGTCCTTATGTTCCCTTCTTAATTTCAAATGCATAGAAAAGCTACAACCTTATTTCTTGGAAGGTTTATGTTTGTCTGTGGAGATCTTGTTTCTAGGCATAGCCTCTGTGGCTCAGGTAAATTTTTTTTTTTTTACCCCCTCCCCTTTCAGGTAAATTATTATAAAAATTCTCAACAAGCTAGGATGTACTTAGGTTTGACAAGGGATAGTCACTGCATTTGAATCATCTGGAGATGTGCACATACTGGTAAAGGCTGATTTTTCCTAGAACTTTGTTGAGACCCTACAGATCTCATAGGAAAATCATGCCTTTGAGCCGAAGGACAGTCAGTCTCCCATTAGTACTAAGATGGCCAAGATAAGGATCCTTTGGTATTTCTAAATTAATATTTTGTGTGCACAATTAGAAAAAGCTTGCTATAAAATGGATCAACCTATGATGTCAGCCCACTTCTTTTAAGGTATTAACAACAGCTGTCCTTATTTTAAAGGGAGAAGGTAATTTGAAACTGGGCTTGTTAAGGACAGATATAAACTGTAAGTGCCTCCAAAACATAATTTAGATCCAACTAATCTTATATAAACTAGTGAGTTTCTTCCAAAACAGTTTTGATACAACTATTCATGGCTAGAATGTCTTTGCATCTATCTGTATGTATCTATCCATATTGTTAATGTGCCCTAGCTGGTTTGGCTCAGTGGATAGAGCATCCGCCTGTGGACTGCAGGGTCCTGGGTTCGATTCCAGTCAAGGGCACATGCCCGGGGTTGTGGGCTTGGTCCTCAGTAGGGGGCGTGCAGGAGGCAGCCGATCAATGATTCTCTCTCATCATTGATGTTTCTATCCCCTTCCTGTTCCTTCCTCTCTGAAATCAATAAAAATATATTTAAAAATAAATAAATAAATAAATAAATATGAAATAACTTTTTACCTTCAGATGATATTATTAAAATTAATTTAAAATCAGGCCCTTGTAAGCATTTTTAAAATTCTCGGAAATAGAAACTAACTAGTGCTTTTCAAGTTCACACGATCTAAGATTAATTCTTAGTAAACAAAAGCTAGTTTAAGTTTGGTGATTTAAGTAGAACAGACACCTCTTTCAAGTTGTTGATATAAGTGTAATATTTATATTTTACCCAGGTTTACAAAAATAAGTTCATATTAATAACTGACTTTGATGTCTGTGAAATATGTCTAGAGGTTATAAAATGTCTTCATAAATCTGCTAAGATAAAGAATGCTAATTATTTACTTCTTGTTTTCATCTAGAAATTGAGAGGGTTTATTTTCTTTTTCATTGTTTTCTTAGAAATTGGTGTTTTAAGGATTAAAATCTCAGTATATGTAAGAATAACTTTAAGGTGTTCCAGAAGGGTCATTGGAGTACATAAAAAGATTTGTTTTTATGCTAAATTGCAAGGAAGCTTTGTAAAATAGGTGATTAAAAAAACTTCTATGGTGTATTGTTTGGGGAAACAGTGGTTGTAAATTAAATAAATATCCCATAGGAAACCCAAGATGGAAGTTTGGTTCCTCCAGTCTCCCTTGAAAATCCCATTTTTTCAATTGTTTTGATGTTTAAGTCATGAGGGACCACATATACCATGGTGCTCCCATAAGATTATAATGGAACTAAAAAATTCCTATCACTTAGTGAGGTCATAAATCATAGACCTCTTAATGTTGTATCACAATGCATTACACAAATACTTACCATTGTGATACAGTTGCCTATAGTATTTGGTATAGTAACATGCTGTATGAGTTTGTGGCCTAGGAAATGTAGGGAAACAGAATTTGTCACCCCAAAATATGTCTTTTTGGGTTAGAATTATTTTAGGCCAGTTAGTTTTTTAAAATTCTTTTAGGCCAGTTAGTTTGTTAATCCTCACCCGACAATATTTTTCCATTGATTTTAGAGAGAGTGGAAGGGAGGGGGAGAGACAAAGAGAGAGAGAGAGAAACATCGATATACTAGAAAGAGAGACACATCAATTGGTTGCCTCCTGCATGCACCCTGACAGAGGCTAGGGATCGAGCCTACAACCAAGGTAAGTGCCCTTGAATGGAATCGAATCCAAGACCCTTCAGTCCTCCAGCAAACACTCTATCCACTGAGCCAAACAGCTAGGACCAGGCCAGTTAATTTTAAGAAATAGCAGACATGTATGGCCAGCGTGGCTCAGTGGTTGGGTGTCAACCTATGAACCAGGAGATCTGGGTTTGATTCCTGGTCTGGGCACAGGCCTGGTTACAGGCTCGATCCCCAGTAGGAGGCATGCAGGATGCAGCTGATCAATGATTCTTCTCATTTATGTTTTATCTCTCTCTCCCTCTCCCTTCCTCTCTGAAATCAATAAAAATATATTTAAAAAGAAACAGCATACAAGCTCTAAAAACCAATTAAAAGTTCCCCTGGTTCATAGGTCAATGCTCACCCACTGAGCCAAGCTGGCCAGACCGATGTTGAAACTTTTTAATGTGCTTATTGACCATTCTTATCTATACTCTTGTGATATACCTGTTTAAATGTTTTGCCTATTTCAACAATTTGCGTTCTTTTTCTTCTGATTATTGAATTGTAAGAGTTCTGTGCATATTAAGTACTTTCCCAAAATAAAAAACAAACAGAAAAATTTTTATTGATTTTGAGAGAGAGAAAGAAGAAGGAGAGAGAGAGAGAGAAACATAAAAAAGCTGCCTCCTGCACTACCCCTACTGGGGATGGAGCCCACACAACCAGAGCATGTGCCCTGACCAGGAATCAAACCGGCGATCTTTTGTTGGACAGGACAATGCCCAACCAACTGAACCACACCAGCCAGGGCAGAAAAAATATTTTTAAGAACTCCAGGGTTGTATGATATTTCAAAGTTATAAAGGATTGTTTCCATTTAGTCTCTCACTTGCTACAAGAATAGAAACAAAAAAGATTTTATTACTTTAAAAATATAGAGTAATGAAGCTTTGGTGGGGAGAATAGGAAATAGGAGTTAAAATCAGCCTGGCTGGTATGGTTCAGTGGATTGAACATAATCCTGTGCACCAAGAGGTTGCTGGTTCGATTCCTGGTCAGGGCACTTCGCTAGGTTTCAGGCTCAATCCCCAGTAGGGGGTGTAAAGGAGGTAGATGATTGGTATTTACTTCTCAAAGGTTTTTTAAAATATATTTTTATTGATTTCAGAGAGGAAAGAAGAGGGAGAGACAGAGAGAGAGAAACATCAATGATAGAGAATCATTGATCTGCTGCCTCCCGCAGGCCCCCGCATGCCCCCACTGGGGATCGAGTCCGAAACCCAGGCATGTGCCCTGACCAGGAATGGAACCATGACCTGGTTCATAGGTTGATACTCAACACTGAGCCATGCCAGCCAGGCTCATCGATGTTTTTAATCTCCCTCTCCCTTCCTCTGTCTCTAAAATCAATAAAGACATGTATTTATTTATTATTTTTTTAAAACATATATTTTCAATAAGAAGTTAAAATCAATAAAGAAAAAGTTTTATAAGTAATTTCAAAGTACCTTTTAAATAAGGAAAAACTCAAGACAGCATTTGTTCCGCTTAGTGACTACTTAAGGAATAACTTACACACAGAAAACTGTGAGAAAAAGAAGAGCATTTTTTTAGCCAAACTTCAAAATCCATAACTTAATGAGGTTTATTAACCTTGAACTATCTTAATGATATACAGTTAAATTCAGAATTTACAACCAAGTGCTTAGGGTAACTTGATAAAAGTATTTCTTCACGTTACTCAGGATGAACTACTGAGCCCTTGGTGTTGCAATTCGGTCAAGTGACAATTTGCAGAAATAAGTTTCAAGAACTGGCAGGCATTTAGTGTTGAGGAAACCGAACTGGCCCTATGAATGTGACCAAATAGTCACTGAGGGTGAGACTGTGGAATTGGCATTGTTCGAATAGCTTTGTTTGTCTGATATCCCCGCCACGCCCCCCCACCCTGCCCTTTTCAGTTGTGTTTGAAGGAAAAACAAACTGGTTTAGAAAAGGGGGCTCTGACCAAAAAGACATAATTCCTGTAGAAAAAGTGCCCAATCGAAAGTCTTACTTCTTCCTCTTGAACTTTCTCTTTGTTAAATAATTTATATGCCTTGGGTATCATCAGTCAAGTTTAACCACGCCTGGGGGCCAGCTGACAGGTCCCAAACAAACACAGAATAGGAAAGGAAAGGGAAGAAAGAATAATAAAGAGTGTGAGCCCTTAGCTTGTTTGGTTAGAGCATTGCCTTGATACACCAAGGTTGTGGGTTCAATCCCCCATCAGGGCACATACAAGAATCAACCAATGAATGGATAAATAAGTGGAACAACAAATCGATGTTTCTCTCTCCCTCCCTTTTTCTCCCTAAAATCAATAAATAGGCAGGTGATGTCTATTTTCACGATGGTCTTCAGATGCCTGTGACAGGCACTGCTGAGAAAGCCAATTGGTAGAACTGATGCCAGAAAAAAATAAAAAAGAAAAAAATCAATAAATAAAAATTTTAAATTTTTTTTTTAAAGAATAAAGAGTGTGAAAGAGCAGAAAAGAAAGCCCTTAGTGCAAGGTAGATGCTCTCAGCTGCCTCCTATAGCTACCTAGGAAAGCAAGCCAAATACTTTTAAAATACAGAATTGCTTTTTCCACTTCCCAAGCAAATGAAGAAAATAGGTTTTCAAACTTTTATGTACAAAACCAACCTCTGGGAATCTTGTTAAGATTGTCGGTTCCCAAACGTTATCCCCAGAGATTCCAATTCACTAATCCTCTGGTAGGACCCAGAAATCAGGCCTTCGCCAGTCAGATTTCAGAGATTCTGATGTTATGGTCTCCTCACAGGCTGGGCTTCATGGACCCACAGCCTGTGCAATTGCACAGGGCTCTGTACTCAGAAGGACCCTACACTAGGTTTAATGCTCTTTCATCGAAGACTTGAAGTTCTTAATAACTTTGAACAAGAGGCCTCTTGTTTATACGGGTCTTGCAAGTTACGTAGCTGGTCTTGTCCCCATGGGCCACATTTAAAAAATACACTGCAGCCCTAGCCGGTTTGGCTCAGTGGATAGAGCGTCGGCCTGCGGACTGAAGGGTCCCAGGTTCGATTCCGGTCAAGGGCATGTACCTTGGTTGCGGGCACATCCCCAGTAGGGGGTGTGCAGGAGGCAGCAGATCGATGTTTCTCTCTCATCGATGTTTCTAACTCTCTATCCCTCCCCCTTCCTCTGTAAAAAAATCAATAAAAATAAAAAATACACTGCAGCCCAGCCGGCATGGCTCAGTGGTTGAGTATTGATCTATGAACCAGGAAGTCACGGTTTGATTCCTGGTCAGGGCACATGCCCGGGTTGTGGGCTGTATCCTCAGTGTGGGGCTGCAGGAAGCAGCCAATCAATGATTCTGTCTAATCTGTGATGTTTCTATCTCTCTCTCCCTCTCCCTTCTCTGAAATAAAAAAAAAAAAAAGATTTTAAAAAAATACACTGTCTCACAGTGGTTAGAGCCTTGGCAGAAGTGTTGCAGATTTGATTCCTGGTCAAGGGCACGTACCTGGGTTGCAAGAGGCAACCAATTGATGTGTCTCTCTCACCTCTCTCTCTCTCCCTTCTATTCTCTCTAAAAATCAATGGAAAAAATATCTTCGGTTGAGGATTAACAAAAAAATAAAAAACACACAGCAATAGGCATGTTCTCCCTCTTGGGAACATGCCCATGCTTTCCCTACCCCCCTAACCCCCCCCCTCGCCCCCAAGGACGTCGTTACCTCTGCGTTTTTCTCTCCTAAACTACAAGGGCCTGTCTACTACCTCTAAATAAACTTTCTCTTATAATTTAAAAAAAGTATTAAATTAATTACACTGCCATAGGAGTTAGGCCTTAGGCTTCAGTCTTCCACTCTTGAAGAGATTCAAGCAATGATCTATAGACCTATTGGATTTTAAGTCTGCTAGACAGCCAGCATCTGAATAAAATACTTGACACAATTTCTACTGGGCACTCTTGGGTTAGGAGTTCCCCAAGTGGCTGTTTCCAGAGGCAGAGCCCAGGGAGAGAAGCAGCCATGGTAGAAAGCAGATTCCTAGGGGCAGGCATGTGAGAATTGGCAGTTATTTGTGCAAGAAAGGGATCAAGAAAAATAGGGGGGAAAAGGAAAAAAGGAGAGACCTCAAAAATAATACATGGGGGAAAGAAATCACTCTCAGGCGTTTGAGAAGGCAAAATCCCAACAAAGGTAAACAGATAACCCTGAAATTCAATTATCTAAAGAAAGCTTTGGTCATGTAAAGCTGGGAAAAGTTAAAAACCTTTGGAACAAATTCTAACCTAATCTAATTCGACTAACCCTTTCAGCAGTGGAAGTCAGTATGTGGAAATGACGACTTAAGTAAATTGTTTCTCTAATTGTATGTGGTAGAACTGGACGAGAGAAGCTTTAGGATAGCTAATCAAAAGTTAACATTTCCCCATTCATCACTTATTACTGGCAGAGCATCAACAATGTGCATTTCATGGGATAAAATAAACCACAGAACCATTGTAATGAGTCAGTTCCATCCATGCTGAAAAATAGAATCAGTATACATTTTAGTGAAATTTAAAAAGCAAATTGTTTTTGCCACTCTAATTCAACCTAATTCATCTCAGAAGTCAAGTCAGATTCTCCAGGCTTAAGAGTCTGGCTGGCCTTAAATAGGACGAGAAGGAAAAAGCTATCTTAGCAATACCTGGAATGGTCAGCTGGTTATTCAACATTTCTTGTAGTAGTTCATTTTCATTCACTCTTTAGTTAGTGTTTAGTGGCTTTAGGAAGGTTTAAGTCATCACAATTTTCACCATTATTATCATCAATGCCACAACTATGTAATAATTGTAATAACAATAGTTAATATAGAAAGAATTCTATATGCTGAGCATTTTCTGAATTATATATACACAATAGCACTATGTCATGGGGTTGTGGTGAGGATTACATACATATATATGGCATAGTACTGACGTTATCTCCATTTTACAGACAAGGAAACTGAAGCAGAGAGGTGAAATTACTTGTTTAAGATCACACAGCTATTAAACAGCAGAGCCAGGACTCAAACAGAAGGACTATAACTATTAATTACCCAAGAACTTAACCATTAGACCAATAGCGACTCTGTAGTGAGTAAAGCAAACAGAGTCGCTATTAACATTTTCAGAAGAAATAAATATATACAACATATTTACAAGTTGCCAGAAGAATGCCCCTGCTCCTCTAAGAGTGTACATTTATGTGTGTGACTCAATCCCAGGTAAAGGATGCCTATTCCAGGCACTGGTTCCTTAAAATTGTAAACCAGCTATCACTATTAAAAATTTTATTTTTTTAAACTAATGGCTCTAGGACAGCCGTGGGCAAACTACGGCCCGCGGGCCGGATCCGGCCCATTTGAAATGAATAAAACTAAAAAAAAAAAAAGACCATACCCTTTTATGTAATGATGTTTACTTTGAATTTATACTAGTTCACACAAACACTCCATCCATGCTTTTGTTCTGGCCCTCCGGTCCAGTTTAAGAACCCATTGTGGCCCTCGAGTCAAAAAGTTTGCCCACCCCTGCTCTAGGAAGTGTAGACCTCAGAGCAATAATAAAACTGTAAGCCTTACACTTGCACCGTGTCATCAAATCCAAGAACTGGCAATATATATATGAAAGTTTTAAAATATATTTTTTATTGATTTCAGAGAGGAAGGAAGTGAAGGAAGTGGGAGAGAGAGAGCGAAACATCAATGATGATAGAGAATCATTGCTCAGCTGCCTCCTGCACACCCACCACTGGGGATAGAGGCCGCAACCCAGGAATGTACCCTGACCGGAAATCAAACCTCGACCTCCTGGTTCACAGGTTGACGCTCAACCAGTGAGCTATGCTGGCCCAGCAAGAAGGCTTTATTTATAGTCACAGAGGTAGAAGAAGTGAGCTATAAAAGAAATTGGCTCAGGAAACAAGTTACAGAGGCAAAAGAAGGGCCCTTGGAGCTTAGGAGAAAGAGAGAAAAAGAACATACCTAGGGGAAGGGGGAGAGAGAAAGGCACGGGCATGGTCCATGGAGAGAACCGCAAAGAATAAGCCAGTCAGTGAAAGATAAATACCACACGATCTCACTCATGTGTGGAATATAAAGAACATTATAAACTGATGAACAAAAACAGATACAGAGGCAAAGAAGCATCGAACAGACTGTCGAACTACAGCGGGAAGGCCGGGGAGGGTTGGGAGGGTAAGAGATCAATCGAAGGACTTGTATGCATGCATATAAGCATAACTAATGGACACAAGACCCTGGGTTGGGGGAGGCGGTGAAGGCATGTGCTGGAGGATAGGGGAGGCCGGTGGGGAGGTCAATGGGAAAAACAGAAGACATATGTACTACTATTTGTAATACTTTAAACAATAAAATAAAATTTAAAAAAGAAAAAAGAACTGGCTACTTTTAAGTAACAAACATTACAGGTTTTCATCAACTGCCAAATTATTTCAAGGTGGAAGAGTAAATCACAGTAGTTTCCAGCATATGACATGGTGCTTGGCTTGTACTGAGTGCTCAATAAATGTTGATAGAGAGAAGGGAAGGTAGAAAAGGAAGGCAAAATTGTCTTAAAGTCTTTTAGTAGTGTCTAAGTGTGATTTCAAAATATCATTCAACTTTTTTATTTTTATTTTTATTTTTTAATATATTTTATTGATTTTTTACAGAGAGGAAGGGAGAAGGATAGAGAGTTAGAAACATCAATGAGAGAGAAACATCGATCAGCTGCCTCCTGCACACTCCCTACTGGGTATGTGCGCGCAACCAAGGTACATGCCCTTGGCCGGAATCGAACCTGGGACCCTTGAGTCCGCAGGCCGAGGCTCTATCCACTGAGCCAAACCGGTTAGGGCATCATTCAACTTTTTTAAATAGCATTCACTCATTCATTCATTTAACAATATTTATTGAATATTTACTATGTAATAAGAACTATGCTAGACATCAAGGGTATGAATTTAAAAGTTACTATGGAATAAACACACCAAAAGTAAAATATGTGAAAATCCAATTGTCACATAATGAGTAAAACTAGCAATTAAAGAAGCACGCAAAGGAATATGTAAAGGTTGAAAGCAAAATCAATATAGATGTTGCAAATTTGGTGAGGGAACTGCATATTTGCCTTTACTTTCCAGATTCTTTCTTCCCTAATAACCCCCTCTCTCCACACCGACATCTTAATCACCCATTCTCAGAATCAAGTTATTCAAGTTCTGCAATAAATTTCTTAGCTTCATAGACCTACTGCTTTTCACTAGTTCACTCATCAAATAAATACTAAATGTAGCATCTCTAAATAGCTCATGTTTCTTTAAATTTAGCCAATTAAGAAACAAGTTATAACACAATCCACAACTATTTGGGGGAAGAGAAACTCACACACAGGAAACATGAAAATAACC